ATAAACTAGAAATAAAAAAGTGGTTTGCTAGGAAAAACAATTTTTTACCAAGTGGAAACACAATATGGTATGTGCTCATTTTTATTTGGTTACTTTTAAAGGAGAAAGGGTGAGAATGTAGCTCAGAAAATATATTGAGATTTGTAAAAAAAATAAATGGCTTATATTTTGAACTTTTTTGAGATGTGCTTATTCTTATACTCTATGATTTTGGTTTACAAACACAATTCATTGGGTTTTGCAGTGTGTGGAATGATGTACTACCGAAAAGCTCTCATGCTTCAAGCATATTTGGAAAGGGTGGCAGCTCAAGGTTATCATATACGAGATGAAGTTATTATGTTCTAATGTTCTTTTTCTCATTAGTCATTACTGTGGTTGTTTACTAATAATACTCTGGTACATGCATCTTTAGATTCTGAGGCTGCAATTTCACAGAGCAAAGCAACTGATACCCAAGGTTTTGAGTTGTCTCTTGAAGCAAGAGCTCAAGTAGATCTCAAATTTACCTATGTAGTTACCTGCCAAATATATGGGAAACAGAAAGAGAAGCAAAAGCCTGAGGCTGCGGATATTGCATTACTAATGCAAAGGTGATCAAATGGCAATCTCTTTTATTTAGAAATTAATTGATGATAACCACTTACCTTACACAGAAAGCCTAAGAGCATGTTCTCTTCATCTTATCTCATTAGTTTGATATATTAAGGTCTGATATGACTGAAATCTTTCTAGTCTAGTCCATAATTTATTCTGTCAAATTTCAAATGGGACGGTTGGAGTATTTATTTATATCAATGTAGATTCGATGGTCATTATCTATTTGATGCTTTTATCTTGAATATATATCGATTTAAAGTGTGTTGGATATATTTTTATTGAATGTGTATGATTGGGTGTTGCGGATCTACTTTTAACTATTCTTGGTCTCCATTTACCTTGGTACTAGAAACTTTCACATTTGGAAAAATATAATATAGTCATTGGGGACAACCTTGAGGACTTTTCTTTGGCTGAGGATATGATAGGATTAAAGTTTGATTTTAAATACTTAGGTTTGTTATTTGTGGAGGAGAGACATATTCTATGCTTGCTATTTAATTGTTTATAGTTTTTGGAAAATGACATGGGGATACTCTCACTCAAACCAGCTAAATATCTTTTGTATATCATTATTGCATTATCATGACAATATATGTATATGTATGTGTGCATGCTTGTGTATATTAATAAA